GCTTTCAAACATCTTCCCTTGACAAACCAGCGTGGAGAGAAAAAAGACGGAAAGCTAGCTGTGGCAGGAATAAAAAACAAAACACTAAAGTTAAGCGCACACACCCTCAGCAGATCAGAGCCAAAGTGGAGTATCACAAATACAACTATCACTGTTGTCTTTTTTGACTTCAACAGCCATCTGTGCATTACAGCGACTTCGCACAACACTCCCTTTAAACTGGAGTCTTATCACGTAAATATGAGCAATAGGAATTTCACAAGTAGTTGCATGGGGGATGAGGGGAGGAGGGGGCTAGGGGAAGTGTAACTTTTGACTCCAGTGAGTCATACAGGGAAGCTGATGGAGCAGACTCTGCTGCCTCACAGGGATAAGGCAAAGCCAAGAGGGTGTGGCAATGATACAGACAGCCACCTTTGTTTGAACTAGGACTGGCTCAGTTTAACCAGAAGGCCATTCACATCTAATGCCTGACCTGTTGGTTTCACATGGCACGATCTTAACCTTGCTGGCAGCAAGCAAGGTTAAGATCGGGCTGCAAATGGTTTAGTCACCATAGGAAGAGGAAACATAATAGACCAACAAGCTCATTCTCCTTTAGAGAGAGGAGGAGCGCTTTGGATCTGTTCCAGTCTTCTTTCAAAGACCAGAAAGTTGTTTACAGTAACAGGCAGTTTGGAAAATATCAGTTTTCACACTTAGAGCCATTCTGTAGCTAAATAGCAAGTGTTTAGCAGTGAGAAAACTGGTGTTACTGTTCAGCACCTGCAGGCATCTGTCAGGGCGTTGGCTGTCTTCTTTGGGCATTATCAAACAAAGAAGAGTGCTGCTAAGACTTAAGCTGCCTTGCCTGAACTAGAACTCAGCATATTCATGCAAACACTTGATGTGCAAGTAACGCTGCTGCTGTGATGGATGATGTGGCCACTATAAGAGACAAACTGGAAATACTTAATTCCTACATCTCAAGGCGGTTTTCACAACTGAAACCAGGGACAGCCGGTGAAATGAGACACGTTTTATGGGCCGAGGGAATCTCGAGGAAACCATTCACCATACACCCACCATAAAGGAAGCGACGTCCTCTTTCGGTTTAGACTCAATAGAAACATTTTTGAATACATAATGGCTCCAAATGTCTAGCAGAACTTTCAATCCAGGACCTGGAGCATGAAGACACATGTCATAGATGCAATCTTTTGAGCTGAAAGGTGACATCTTTGTGGTTCTTCTGTTTGCTCCAAAAAGGGTACGGTTTCAGGAAACTGTCATACAAATAAACACAATAACGCCGCAAGGCAATAATGACACAAATGAACCAAAATGCTATGAAGTTAAAGGCGGTTACAGATGGTCCGTGCACGTATGCGTGCGTGTGTGTGCGAGAAAGAGAGACAGATCTGTGGAAGGAAATGCAACTTGGCATGCTGCAAGGGCGCTGTAGCCGTGCAGCAGCTTGTCTGGTAAGAACAGCAGCTGCATTCCTGAGAGATTTATAATTACCGACTGAGGAACTCTTCTTTCCAATCCTGCTTTCATCCCCCCCCCAGCATCAAACACACACACCTCCTCACCCCCTCCATCTATTCCCCTTTTTTTCACCCCATGCAGTGGCCTTCTAGGAGACAGCGCCATGAAAGACAAATGGATAATGGCTGGCGCATGGAAGTCATTTTGAGATAACATTATAATGTGTGGTTGTGTGCGCTGGCCCAGATTGTTGTTCCCTGTGTTTATGCAATATTTTAACTTCTATGGAAACAGGACAGATTGCAAATGGAGGTACTGTAGGTGGGCAACAGCAAAGTGATATCTATTAAATGATAATCTTAACTAGAGGTAAGGTGTGAATGCCAGCGCTTACCTTTTTCAATGCAAAAGCTGGATTTAAAGAGAAAACAAAAAGTCTGGAAAGTTGGCGAGTTGCGACAAAGTCTCGTTTGCTTTGCCTCCAGGGGTTGCTGGGGGTCTAAGTCTGGACTGCAGTCTCTGCAGAGTTTAAAGACCTCTGGACTGACAGGTCAGACGCAGATAAAAAGAAACTGCTGTGCAGCAGCAGTGACCAGCTCACAGAAAAGGCAAACACAGCTGGAGAGCGAGGTTTAAAAATACATCCTGGCATCTTTGTGTCTCCGCTCAGCCCAAGTCAAAACAATATCCTTTCAGTTTAAAGCTCACTCCGTCTGACAGTTGCTTGGCACTGGCAAGTGTGGGAATAAAAACACTTGAAAGAGCTTAGAGCACAACTTATGTGAAGCCTCAGAAAGACACTAAAGTAAACAGCCTCAGTCCCAAATTGAGTAAATCATGATGACTTGGATGGCCGGCTAACAGCCACTGATTGGATTTTTCATCTCTTGATAAGAGCTCATTGATTAACTTAATCATCAGTTAATCTCTCTTATTAATGGCCTGCTTTCTTCCACTCATCAGTCAGGCGTTTCCGTTCTCTGCAGGCCTGCATGACACACAGAAATCAGTCACTCGGTGATCACACACACTCGTGCGCATTTTGTCTCTTGCAACATTCGATTGCTCCTCTTGTTGCCGTTCTTGACCGCCAGCTCTCCCCTTTCCTCCACTGATCTCAGTCACGTGTGAACCACAGCACACAGCTGAACAGCTGCACCTACCTGTCTGCTTACCCAAGATCCGAGTGCACTTACACCCCTTAGCTCCCAGTGTAATCTTCATCCCGGCCATCTCCTCATATCCTTGCCTTTTGTCATCTCATCTCTGCCTTAACATCTGCTCCCCTCCCCAAATCACGGGTTTCTACCGGGTTCCGCCATGCATCCAAAAGTGCTTACACAACGCACCTGTAATGGGTACAAGCCCAAGCATGGCAGGCTGGCCAAGAAGGAGCACCAGTATGTGACACACCCTTTTTAAACAAATGGCTCAGTCTCAGCCTCACCTATTAGAAAGGTATAACAGCTAAACCTGCAGCTAAAAAAAAACAACCCAAACAACTGAAAGTGCTGATTGGTTTTTCAGAGAAGTTTTGATTATTGGAAGCTCATTCCAGACCAAAGTCCAGCAGATGCTGCTGCAGCAGACAGCCAAAAGGGGGAAAGGGAGAGGGAGTCCTAAGGTGGTCGTGTTATCTCCCTCGGGTTAATCAGCAAGCAGTGGGTTATCAAGTGCGTGTTAACTGCCATTTATTAAAAGAAGTGTCAGGGGACTATGCCGTAAAAAGTGTGCTACTGGATCAGTGACTGGACCCAACACAATACCCTTCATTGTCACGAGCTCCATAGCTAAGAGAAGCACTACAGGTCTTAGATTACCTCTGTATAGGATCCCTTAGCTGAGAAGCAACTCTCCCACACCTTGTTTTTCCATACATGCCTATACTCAATATCTAGCCATGGAGTTGCAATTTGAACCAAACTTTATTTTAACAGACTTGAGATCCCTGGTTCTGACATGTATGGACTATTTTTCTTTACTTCTGGGCTAAAATTACCGTACTTATGTTGCCCATAATTAAAAACCTGCATTAGGAAGAAGAAAAATCGTGCTGATATAACAGCTTCACTTCTAAACCTACTTTCTTCACGCCTTCAAAAGCCAGTCAAATCATATTGATCCTTATCTGTTTGTTTTTTCCCTATGCAGGAATATTAAACCCTTTCTCCTAAAATTCACGCCACAGCTCAGTTTCGAGGGACTTTCCCAGCAGGAATTCCAACAAAAAAAAAAAAAATAAATAAAAATAATGCCAACACAATAAGGTAGCCATTAATCTGACGCTTAAGTTGGACAGATAAAAAAGAAGTGTCAGACGTACCGTAACGAAACTTTAAAGACTGATTTAGCCGCTCTCCATTTGAAGCGTCGCCCTGCTTCGCCCTCGTTCTCCAACTCCAAACTTTCAGCGCCCGAAGGAAAACTCCAGGTGAAGCATTTCCGTGAAAAGTTCAACTTCAGGAAACAACTGCAGCCTGGATGTGTTTGCACGCCCGGCTTCAGCCCTCGCGTTTAAGGTGCCAGGAAAGTGTGTCCTCTGCTGTCAGCGTCGTTTGTCTGCGGACGCTTCACTGAAGCAAAATGTGGGACTACCGAGAAAAGTCGCGCCGCAGTCGACCCGAGGTCCCACCTGACGGAGGCTGGGCACACTCAGGTGAGCGCGCGGGTCTGCGGCTGTTGATTTGGCGACATCTAGCGGTGGAACGAGGAATAACGAGCTAATAGCATGGAGCAGACTGGGGAGAAACTGGAACTTAATTTTCCCACGGTTAGTTTACGTTTCAGGTATTTACGTCTGCATTTTTTTTATTCATGAAGACTACTTAAAGAAACTGTAGATAAAAGCTTGCGTGGTTAATAGAGGTGGTCACACCAAATGTTGACTTTCAAGCTCGTTAGAGCTGTACACGCATGTATGTTTGCACACGTTCCCAGCAAAACATAAAGAAACGACGGGTGTCTCAAGACTTTTGCACTGTAATACTGTAATAATACAAAAAGAAAATGTTCTTTGTCCTTCTTTAACCTTTTGGATAGCCTTGAAAATATCCAAAGTTACTAGCATGAAATTTTGTATTTTAATAATATTATATAATAAAAAATATACCTTATTACTTAAAGATGTTCACATCTTTCCGATCACCTCCTTCATTAAATCCATATTCACATGTCTGAGTGTGTGTTTGTTTCCACTTGTCTGCGAGGAGTGTGATAGGCAGTATGCAAAACACCTCAAACAAATACTGTTACATAAATCATGCAAACTTGGTCAGCTGAGCTGAGTCCTGGAGGAAGATATTAATTGAAAAGCATGCACGGTCCTGCTAATGTCAACACCTTTGCCTGTAAGGTAGTCTGGAGTACACTTGTGGAAAGTTATTGCTCAGCTCAGCTTTCCACCATGATGTCACTACCTTCTTAAACACACATTGAAACAGGTTGTGAAGAAGGGTAAATATAGCTCTCTGTGGCACCCGGGCTGGTCCGGACATGCGCTAACTGCCACATCCAGAGCACACTGAGTCTGCTTCCAGCACTGACACAGTTTGTGAGCCCATGAGGGAGTCTTAGATAGAGTTTCTCCCAGGCCTTCAGTGTTATTAATAAACACAAAGTGTGCCTCCGTTTTCCTGGAGACAGACACCGCAGACCTCTTTCTAACAGAAAACCGTGCTAACACAGTAACTGCCTGAACATTTAGTCGGACTGCCAGTTAACGTAAGTACACATCTATGTTAATAAAAGCTGTTTCTTTAATTATTTGACAGGTTGAAAGGTTCTGTAGTGTGAAGCTTTAGGACAGGCCTCTCAACTTTAACAGCTATCAGAATGATTGATGTGTTTGCCTTTACAGTTCATTCCTCTTAACAATCTGTAAAGGAATAAGTGTTTTGAAAACCACAGTCTTACCAGGTGTTGTTTTTAATGGCTCTCGCCTTGTTTTCTTAGATTCTCTCATGGATGATCAAAGCTCAGTACAGGATGGGAACTTCATGTTATCTACTGATGACTCACATGTGCAACTGAGATTTTCTGAAGATATCTCACCGAGCAACCGCACAGACTCTGAAACACTAGGTAGATTTGCTCAAGATCCTATTCTACGCTCGGAACAGGTGGACATGGAGAGCTTGGGTGAACTCTTTGAGTACTGCATACAGCGAGTATCCCATCTAGAGAGGCAAAGAGATGTGCTGATACAGGAGCTTCTGGTTCTGCAGGAACCTATGCTGCAAGTTGTGGGGCACCTGAGAGCGAAGCTGGAGGGAACACGCAAGCTTCTCGCTCTGGCTCAGCTGGATTATGTTACGGTTTGTGAGGATGTGCAACAGGTAAAGAGGAAACTGTTCACCACAACCAGAGACTGCATCCAGAGCCAGGTGAAGCTAGCCGAGCAGGAGTACGAGGTGGCTCAGTCTGCTGTTACTCAGGTAGAAACCACAGGCTTTACATTTAATGATGATTTACTTCTGTAGTGTAGGTTTGCTTAGTATAGCAACATCACATAAAACTTGGGGTCATCATGGCTGCAGCTTGTTTATGGTTTGATTTTCCGTTATTTGAGTATCATGAGTATGAGTTCTTGTTGTTTTAGTTCTAGCTACTGTTTGCACCCTATAGAAAAATTAGCAATCAGATAAATTCATGTACCCAACTAAGCTACTGGGTAGTTTCCATTTCCACTCTCTTGCTATATGGGATCCTTTTATTTGCTGAATGTTTTTACCCACAGATAAAAATAGCCTCCATTATCAAATTTAATACTTTTCATTCTTATTTTACATCTCTTCATAGGAAGAACTCAAGGCTCAAATTCAAAGTCTGACCCAGGAGTTGGTGCAGCTGGAAAACGCCCACCAGAACCAGCTCAATTCCCTCCGTGATCAGGCCACTAAGCCTTGCAGGCCCAGGGCCATGAGTGACATCAGCCAGTGTCGCCAGGCCTCCATCAGACTGCAGCGAAGGCTCAGTGGCAGTGTGAAGATGTTGGAAGGCTGGTACGAGCCTCGCCTCATGGTTCTGCTGAAGAGAAGGCAGGTTGGGGAGGAAGCTTTGAGAAAAACCAGGGAGCAGGCAGTGGACCTGAGAGCCGGGCTGAAGCCTCTGAGAGAGGAGATACAGAGGCTGGAGGTGCAGAGATCATGTCTGGAACAGAGGATCACTCTTTTGGAGACAGAGCGGCAGGAGAGCACTGCACAACATAAGGTACAAGAGAGGTTGGATAGAACAGATGTTCAGTAAAACTAGATGACAGTATGTTTTTATTTTATGCAGAAGACTGTGGAGAAACTAAGAAAGACTCTGAGAGAACTAGAAGTGGAGTTTGAGGTTCAGAGAAAATCGAAGAAAGGCTTGGAAGATCTTAAAGATGGCCTTTTAGCAGAGCTGACATTTCTGAGGTGGGTTTATCCCAATCATTTCTGCTTTAACTTAGTAAAAGTCAAGATAATAAATGAATAATAAACTTATTTTCTTGTAGGGGCTGTGAACTCAGTGACATTACAGAGGAAGAGTCATAAGTTTCAATTTCCCGAGACATAAGACATGAGACCAAATCACAACGCTGACATTATGGTAAATGGACTGGTTCTTTTATAGCGCTTTTCTACTCATCTGAGCACTCAAAGCACTTTACACAACTTGTGCATTCACCCATTCGCACAAGCACATCTTTCTAAGTGCTTCATATAGCTAACATTCACACACATTCATACTCCGATGGATCGGAGAGCAATTTGGGGTTAGTATCTTGCCCAAGGATATTTGGCATGTAGGCTAGGGGAAGCCAGGAATCGAACCACCAACCTTCCGATCAGTGGATGACCTGCTCATGTAATGGGTGAGCTACAGCCACCCCATTACATGTTTGAAAATGCGGTCTACTTAATGCAAGCGTCTTGTTACTCGCTCACATCCGACTTAACATCTAAAATGTTGTGCCAAGAAAACAAAGCAAACAGCTTTACTGTAAATATTTTTATATGAATATACTTAAGTACACAAAAGATCAGATGCAGAGAAAATGCAGAGAGAAAAACAAAACACATACAAGTGACAACACAATTTGGGGGAATTTCATACTACAAATACCAGGCAAATTAAAAGGATCAACCTACAGTATGTACAATAACATTTAAAAATGGATCTTCCACAGAAATGTTTCTGCTCAACTAACCAAGATGGAAGAAATAAAACCAACAAAATGCACACTTAGGTGATCATAAACATGTCTGTGGTTTCATCACGAGTCAGATTTCAGTTCGAAAAACTAAAAAGATCTAAAAACCTGATCATTAGAGACCTTTTCTTAAACATGTCACGTGATGACATGGCAGCATTTTATTCTTTTATTTTCTACAAAACACTGCTGCTCAAAATGTATTTTAAAAAGACTGCTTTTTCACCCAGTGCTGGTAAACGGATCCATTTTTAATGAGCAGGTCAAAAGAAGAAGACACGTGGAGACCGGACTCATGCCTGGACTTCTGAATCTGCGGCACCTTCTGGGTCCTCGTCATTGTAGATATTTTCAGCCTGCAGATAATTGCCAAAAAAATAAAAGATTTTTAATGTAACTGCTCTTCTATGTTATAATAATAAATGCACTTTACTATTCAAATCCTCGCTGTGTTGTAACTGATCGAGTTTTCTTTACAAAGCCTTTACCATCTGCCACACTTGCATGATGTTGTCCTCTGATACTGAACAGATGACCCACGGCTCGTTGGGGTTCCAAGAGAAGTCTGAGATCTTAGCTGTGTGTCCTCCGTGGATGAACTGAAACGAAATGAAGCAGAAAGATTTAGCACAATGATCGAGATTTAGCTTAAAAAATAAAACAAAGCCAATGTTTGAAAGCAAGATTACAGTATTTCCTACACAAAGACTTAGGCATGCTCTTCCAGTGTGGTGGTACCTTACTAACAGACCAACCAAGTCACTGTTAAGGCAGTGACCACTGCCTCTCTAGAAAAATCATGTAGCTTGCTGGACTCCAACTCTATTGTCATGGATTGCATTTGGTGACAGTAGTCCTTGTACTGCTCTACAGAGCCGCTGCAAGCTGCAGGGTCACTACACTAACTACAAACTGCAGCAGGTGGAGAAGTTCGTGTGCCAGTAGACATTTCTCAGGCTGCTGAGCAGAACAATGATTATCATCACCAGCTGCAGTCCATGCATTGGTGGAGCTATAATCCATCTGCTGGACAAGACTCTTACTGGAGAGTGTGGGTGCATAGAGCCTCTGACGTCACCACAAATATGCTCATTTTGTTGAGAAAAACTGCATCATCACCACCGCTCATTGTCACAACTCACCAGCAGCTCAGGAGGGCCATCCTCAGCATCCTCTGGTGACTGCTCCTCTCCAATCTTACTGAGGTCCCAGACGTTGAGCCGCCTGTCGGTGCCGCTGGAGGCCAGGATGGTTTCGTTATGAGGAGACCACTGAACCTGTTGGAAAAAGATGTGGATATGAAACCTCTGCAATTAAGTCCCCCCTTGCAGTACTTTGGTGAATATAATTGTAAATATTATATCTATACAAAGAATTAAATATTCAACCCTAAATTCCAAGGGTACAAGCAAGTGTACAACCAAAAGCTTTAAACAATTCACCATCACATATTTTCACAAGTTACTACAAAGTCCTACAATCCTTTTTCTCAAAAATGTTTTTCCCAAAGTTGAAAAATTTTAACTCCTGCATCAGACAACACTGTTTTCCACCAGTTCACCTCATTGTATTGACTTTGTATGCAACTGTAACAGCAAACAACTTCCTGACAGTTTATCTTTTTGTTAACTTAATTATATAAATAGCAATTGCATTTCATCTTTTGTAGCCAAAAGCTAGTTATTCACCAGAGACATATTTCAGCCTAAATAGCCTCACTCCACAATGGAGTTAGTGAGCTGAAACATTCAAGCCGAAGTTTGCACAACAACAACTACAGATTTATTGCGAGGAAGTTCACTTCTTACCTGGAAGATCTCGTCCTTGTGGGATTCAAACGAGTGAAGCTTCAGCTTCAGGTTCCTCAAGTCCCAAAGAGCCACAGTCTGCAAGTAAAAGGAGGCCAATTCAGTACAGCATCAAGATGCTATTTCACTGTAACTGTCTGAAAGAAAGACACCTCACCTTATCTGCAGAGCCAGTGGCAAGAATGAACTCGCTGTAAGGATTGAAAGACAGGCAGTTGACCTCAGCAGTGTGGGCGTCCACTGCATGGCTGGGCTTGGAGGTGTTGTTGGACCGCGTGTCCCAACTGTTCCAAAAACAGACAAAAGCACCAGTGTCAGGAAGAAATGTGAAACTGAACAACAACTTTGTTTTTAATGAGTCATCGCTGAGGCTGCTTACATCATGAGTTTCTGGTCATCTGCCACAGATCCAAAGAGCGATTCGTGGAGAAGGTGCCATGAGACGTCCTCCACCACAGCAGTGTGGCCTGTGAAGATAGTCTTGGCATCCACAATCTTCCCCTCTTTGGGAACTGTGCTGATATCCCACAGGCATATAGTCTGCAGAGAGCACAGACGAATGTTAAAAAAGAAAGAAAAAAAAGTAGTAACAAATGATTTGTAATGTGATAGAAGACAAAAAATCATTTTAACAAGAATAAGGCAGGCATGTCAAGACAGGTTTCTTACGTGGTCATCAGAAGCACTAAGGAGACAGCCACTAAGGTTTGGGTTCCATGAGAGGCCATAGCCCTCCTTCTGGTGGCCCCTCAGACGGAGATCTGGGGTGCATTCTCCAGAAGGGTCTTTAACAGAAATAATGTCAGTGTTAAAAAGCCTGTAGAGCTTCAAATGTAGCGACACATGATATGCAGTTATGCAAGAAAAAGTGTTCTTTCTGCAAACCTACCCGGCTTGGAGGGGTGCTTTGTGTAATCAAAGACTAGCACATCACTGGTGGGGGTCTTGGTGGCAATGATGCAAGGATTCTGAGGCATGTATCGGGCTCTGTTCACTTCTCCTTCATGGTTGATCTTGATCTCAATCTCTATTTTCCCACTAACAGATCCAAAACCTCCAAACTCTGAAACAAAAAGACAACAGATACATGAAGCTCTTCCATTCCATGAAGCAGGTTTTAGGGTGACCTATGCACCAGGGATTTTTATGTATTTTTTTAGACAAAAAAATGCAACCCTTAAGTTACGTAGTGTGTCATTTATGCCCAATGTTCCTGTTAACCAGTTTTGCTCTTAATAAAATGTTTAATAAACAGAACTTTAAAAAAGCGATTTAAAAAGTACGTAACCCACTATTCTACTTGTTCAGCTGACATTCACTATTGCCCTTGCTTCGTTGAATGAGGTTCAATTTGATTCATGCTGTTACATACGTTATTTCCTTTTCCTTCCTCTTGTGAGCAGAGTTGCCCATAGCCAACAATGTTGTTCTTTCTGCACCATCACACAATTATCAATAAGCTATATAGGAGTTGGATAGCGCTACATTAACAATGTGCAGAATTAAAAGACTACTGAAATGTCCTCCAAACCCTCTGCATTCACCAGGTCTAACAACATTTTCTGGTGGAAGTGTACTAGTATTACTGTGTTAAAGTTGGATTAGATCGATTAAATCAATATCATCCAAAACCAGCTTAGGCATGTGAATTAGTCTGTTCATAAGTGTTATTTCCATGTTTTGCATGTAAAGATCCCTTGAGAACACTAGGAAACTATAAGTTATTCTATGACCTCTTACTGGTGGTGCTCTTGTAACATAGGTTCTCAGTGGACTTTTTATGCTCTCACCTCCTTTCTCGCTGTCATAGTGTGAAGCATCAAACTGCGCATCATCATTCGGCAGTTGAACGCTGGCAATTACGAGGTGATTCTGCTCATCAGAAGTATGGGTCCCCAGAACCAGCCTGTGCACACTGTAGTCCTTTCCCTCTGGTCTGTGGACATATCGCATGATATTTACATATCTGCTACAGTATCTTGTTGTGACTTGGAGCCTGAAAAGGTGTTGCACAACTCCCATTTACCTGGTGACATCTGGGAGCCATTGAGCAGTGAGGCTTGGCCACTCCAGAGCATGGGTCATGACCAGATCATAGAGGAAAGGGGTGTTCTTCTTCCAAATCTTATACTCCTCGTTGATCACCCTTTCCTCCACAGCGTCATCAAAAGCCGCTGCAACAGTAACATTTAACACAAAGCTACGTTATAGTCAAATTTACAAACATATGCAGCAGCTACTTGAGGAAATCTTTTCCTTCCTAGCGTTTTAGCTGATTTTATCAATAAAGTAACAGTAGCACACAATGCTAGAGCAGCTGTCGCCCATATAAATAAATAATGCAGTCTTTCTGAAGATTATTATAGTGGGGCAGTATATCTGACTTCACTGGTTTAAAACCCTTTTCACCGGCGCGTTAGCAGCTAATGCTAACATCAGCTAACAGCTAGCTGAGTGCTTTCTAACAATGAAAGGTGATGCTGGCTGGCGCGCCAACCACCACCGCTACATCCTGATTCGCATTTTCTGTCACTCTCGACAGCACACACACATAAATAACGTTCTCGTTAAAAAACGTAGACGTCCTTACCGTCTTTATCAGCCATTGCGTGGTTATAATACCGTTACTAATGACAAAATAAGTAATTTTTAGGGAGAGCGCTCAGAAGACAGCACGACGACTCGCAATGGCGCCAACTCCATAGAACGCGCCTAGCCAATCATAGTCGACGACAAAACCGACAGGAAGTCGTTACACGACACATCCGGTGCTGTGCCAAAAAAGTAACTTCCGGTATTTGCAAACGATAACGATACTACTAATAATAGGTAGTATTTAGGCCGTTTTGAGTAAGTTGGCCATTTTTCATGACAGCTGAATGCCCTGTTTTGCAAGGACTAGCTCTATAACATATACATACGCGTATATGCTCTATAAACTCTCTAGAGGTTCCTATTGCTAGTAATTTTTACAATTTATTATTTGTTTAATTATTTCTGTTAATATATCCATTGTGTAACAATGAAAAAAGAGAGCGAAGAAAAAAATAAGTGTTCTTCGTCTTTCACGGAAGTAGTACGGTGAGTCAAGCCTGCCCGGAAATTCAAGAAGAACACACGGACATGGTCTAGATAAACGTCTGCCTTTTTCAACAAGCTTCGATCTACAATGGACGATCGTGTGTTAGACTTGACAGAGGCACAGGAAGCTGTCAAATCCAAATACCCGCCGATCAACAAGAAATATGAATGTAAGTGCGAAGTTATGATACTTAAAGTCGGAGCACCAACCACGATGCTGGTTTCAATGGAAGTCTAAATTTCCGAGTTGTCAATATTTTAAGCTGGACCGCCCCCTCATGTCACCACCAACAATCACCCCGACTATAACTGGGCTCTGTTCATAAACGTGTGGGAGCGGTGCTTTTGAACGAAAAACAAACAAACTGTGTTCTCAAGGCGAAAAACAAATCCTGATTTTTCTTCCCGATCGTACTTTGAGTTCCAGTTGAAAATTCCACGTGGGAAATGAAAACTCCGACTTCCAATGCCAATAGTTCCTTTACCATTACTTGATTTATCAAAACAACGTCACAGAAAGTCTAGTTTAATTTTGATTTCAGTGAGCTAAAAGGATTGTTCGTGTTAAATTTTGTCTCAAAATTCAAATTCAAAAAAGATCTTTAATATGTCCAGTTTTTTTACATTTGTGTGAAAGAGATTTTATTTTTCACGAAACTATACAGTCCTGTGAAAAATGTAGTACAACCTTACTCTTTCAGGTAAGCAGGAGGTAGGTGCTGTTAATCAAATGCACCTGATTAACTGATCACCAACAAATGTGGCCAATTATAAACAAAAAAGCAGGTTTGCCAACTTCCTATTTATGTCTCCTGGGCCCTATTTCAGGAAGCCGGTTTAGAAAACTCAGAGTTAAAAATGATACTCAGGGTTGAGTAACCCCGAACTGTCCAACTCGGAATATTCGGTTTCAGAAAGGCTGATAACAATTAGTTCAATCAACGCGGAGTTGCTTTAACCCCAAGTTAAGCGCGCGCACGAGGATACATAAAGCCCTGATTACAGCAAATCCAGCATGTCCAAATTAACACTGTCGGATTTGATTTCAACACTATTAAAGTGTCTATATGGGTCCACACCAGAGAGTGTTAATTTAACTCTTTTTGGAGAGTTGGTACGTTAACTCTGATTTGGTGTTAAACACCAAATCTGTCTGGAGTTGATAATTTAACACTTGGTGTTAAGAGTTTATATATTAACTCTCAAAGAGTATTTTAGTTTAACTACGTAAGAGTTATCTTCTAATTCATTCTAAAAAGCGGGAATTTTACTGTTCTGAACTTCTAGAAGTTTATTTTGGAAATAAACATTTACTAAAAAGATGCAATGGTTTTTGAAAAACATTTATTCTGAACTGTGCACCACAATTTCTAAACATTTTCTGAAAGATGTAACAGTGTACATGTTCTCACTTTCATTAGAATTTTGTTTATCAAAAGGTCTGACATGGTAAATGCAAATAACAGCATTCTCATCATTTATTGCTTCAATACAATATGCATGTCCTTCATTCATCCCTCTGTGGAACTTCAACGCACTTCTGCTCTCCCCCATATTCCATCTTCACAAGCATATCCTGTGTGGAGATTGGATAAAAATTAGTTGACACTAATTAATGGCACAAATAATCCAGTAAACAATTGCAGCACAGTAAAAAAAAGGAATCCTTTTTGAGCCATTACTTGTGTAAAGTATTTTCCCAAAAGCCAAGGACACAGACAACAGGTAATACTGAACTAAATGTAAAACCGCAACCTTTTTCATTTTTACCTAAACCGTGTGCACAAAACTCTGGAGGGATCTATGCTAACGTAGAATCGAGTCAGGACGCCTGCTACTGCTGTTTGCTCGTTTTTGTTTTTTTTTAATCGGCGATCGTTTTCAGGCTTCAAGCAGCACCATTATACCAACATTTCACATTCTTGTTTTAGGCGTATTTGACCAAAGGTTTGACTGAAAATTCACATGCAAGCTTTTTTCAAGGCTGTGGTATTTGCCCGCAAACAATACCTTTCAGCTAGCTAAAACAGAATGTTATGCTATCACCGAGCAACATGGCTAATGCCTTTCACACAGCTTTGTCTCAACTCCAAAGAGCCACAGAAGTAAAAGCTCATAATAATAATTGAAACAATCTTTGAAAAAAATGACTTACCAAGCA